AAAATCGCATAACAGCCGAGCATACACCCAGCAGCGCTGCTGATGCCTGAACGGTATGTGGAATGAAGTGGGCGGGCATCGGGAGGCCACTATGGCACGGGGCAAGCACTATGGGCAGTCTATCTGAAGTGTACCTGGCGTATAAGACGACCCCCCACTTGGAGGCATATTTTTCAGGGCCAAAAAATCGTCTTATACGCCGGCAAATACGGTACTTTTCTCTGTAATGATTTCCATCAGTTGCCTCTCAGGAGATTTAGGTATATCTCCTTAACTGTTGGGGGAAAAAACTTTGCATTTGAGATAAATATCCCCAAAATTCTCTGTTCATATTTTGATGTATATGTCCATACTTCAAAGATTAAGTAGACTTTAACAATAGAAGAAGGTGTGTGTGCGCATTGCATGTGTGTTAACAAATTGACTTCAGAAAGGTTCATATTGAAAGTTCGATGAGACTTTAATGCAGTGGTTCTCAACCTTGGCTGCACATTAGAATCACCTGGGAATCTTTTTAAAATCCTGATTTCTGGTCCTCACCCTGAAATGATTTTAAAAAGTTTCCCAGGTGATTCTAATGTGCAGCCAAGGTTGAGAACCACTGCTTTAATGCATAATCTTAGAGTGTTAAAAGTACTACTAAAAATATGTTCTATTCTCTGATGTCCAAAATTCCTTTAAATTGTTAATATTCTACAGTTTGATAAATTTTAAAAATTTAATATAAGACTAGAAAAGAAAATTAGCTTAGTAAATATATTCAGCAGATAAACAATGAACTTCTCTCTTGAGAACAGGTTTTGAGAAGTTGAGATAGGAGGGAAATAAATACTTTTAGGGAAAGGACCTTTTGTGCTCAAAAGAGGCAGGCAAAAAATGTGCGGGGGGGAGGAGGGGGATTGTGACCAATACAAACTTAATCCACTTAAAAATTTAACCTAGAACTTGGTGGTTTTTATGATCTTGGTTACAGTTAACATTTGGTATTAATAACAACAGCAGCACAAAATAGCCCCCTTTTGCTTAATATGTATCATCTCATTTAGTGTTTACAAAAACTGTGAAGTTGGTAGGATTATCCCTATTTGATATATAAGGTTCAGTGAAGTAAGTAACTTAACCCAGGAGCATGCTACTGAGTAGCAGAGCTGGGGTTCAAACCCCATTTGTTATAACACATGCAGCAAAAACATTTCAAGTCATTGCATTTTTGTGTGTGTTTTTTTAATTATAGTGGATTTAGAAATACTGTTTTTTTATTTTATTTTATTTTTTGTTGTTAATCCTCACCCAAGGATATTTTTCCTTTGATTTTTAGAAAGTGGAAGGGAGGGAGGGAGGGCGGAAGGGAGAGAGAGAGAGAGAGAGAGAGAGAAACATCAATATAAGAGATGATTAGTTGCCTCCCCCACACACCCCGACCAGGGTCAGGGATCGAGCCTACAAGTGAGGTATGGGCCCTTGACTGGAATTGAATCCGGGACCCTTTAGTCTGCAGGCTGATGCTCTAGGGCAAGCATATCAAACTCACGGCCCACGGGCTGCATGCAGCCTACAGTGAATATTTTTGCTGCTCAGCCAATATAACGGTATGTAAAAAATGTTTTAATAAAAATTTCATAACTTAATTTTTACAATATCCTGTTATACATAACTATTAATAATGAACTACAATGTTCACTAATGACTGATTACTATAATTGTGTTGCATTCATTTCTCTTACGTGGCTTTACTCCCTGTCTGGTAAGTTAATGTTCAAGAAAACATTAATTTTTATTAATAAAATGTCCTATTTTATGTTAACGATCACTCATTTATTTCAGCCCTTTGTATTCAGCATGTCTCTATCGAAATAAACCTATGTTTCTATGAAAATTGAAGCTTTTGTATTTTTTGTGGCCCACATAAATTTAAACCTTGTTTATTTGGCCTGTGTTAGCCTTTGAGTTTGACATGCTTGCTCTAGGGCTAGTAATTGCTTTTTGTTTAATAATGAAGAAGGAGAATAGAGAAGGAGGTTTAGGAGGGAAAGGTGATTTTTTAAATCTATATAGAAAAGCCTAAGTGACCGTTAAGATGGTCGACCAAATGACTGGTTAACCAGTCGCTATGATGCGCACTGACTACCAGGGGCAGACGCACAATGCAGAAGCTGCCCCCTGGTGGTCAGTGTGGTCCCTACCCCCGGCCAGCCAGCCGGCCCCAATGGGCCCCAATCAGGACTGGGCAAGATAGTCCCGATCAGCTCCCATTGCTGGCCAGGTCAAGGGACCCCACCTGTGCACTAATTCGTGCACTGGGCCTCTAGTTAAAAAATAATTGGTGAAGCCCTAGCTGGTTTTCTCAGTGATAAGAGCATGGGCCCATGCACCAAAGGGTCCCAGATTCAATTCCAGTCAAAGGCACGTATCTCACTTGCAGGCTCAATCCCTGGCCCTGGTCAGGGCATGGGATGCAACCAATAGATGTGTCCCTCTCACATAGATGTTTCTCTCTCTGTCTCTCCCTTTGCTTTCCACTCTCTTCGGGGGGGGCGGGGGGAAATCAGTGGAAAAAATACCCTGGGGAGAGGATTAATAAAACAAAACAAAACAATAATTTTTGAACTTTTTTGAAAAAGGTGATACAAAACATTTTCCATTGTGTGGAAGGCTGTAGGCACATATTGCATAGGTTTTCTTAGCAATGACAAATAGTACAATCTGAATTTTATGCTACTACTTGTAAGAGTTTATTTAGGATGAGGTAGAATTTAGGTACTTACATTATAGTATCTCTTTTATTTTGAAAGGTGCCTGATTATTACAAAATAATTAAAAATCCAATGGACTTGTCAACTATCAAGAAAAGACTACAAGAAGAGTATTACATGTATACAAAGCCTGAGGATTTTGTAGCTGACTTTAGATTAATCTTTCAAAACTGTGCTGAATTCAATGAGGTGAGGTGGAAGGGAGGGGAGACTAATAGTAATATTGAAAGCAATGTTAAACAAAACATCTTATTAGCAAACAAGGATATTAAGATAATCTATTTATGTTACCGTAAATTTCCAAATGTTCAAGACAGAGAATGATTTTATCCATATTTTTATTCCACCTAGAGGCCTGGTGCACAAAATTCATGCACGGTTGGGGCCTGCAGCCCAGCCTGCACCCTCTCCAATCTGGGACCCCTCAGGGGATGCCCAACTGCCTCTTGCAATCCAGGACTGCTGGCTCCTAACTGCTCGCCTACCTGCCTGCCTGATTGCCCCTAACTCCTCTGCCTGCCTGATCGTCCCTAACTGCTCCCCTATTGGCAGACCGCCTCTAACTGCCTCTGCCTCACCCCACACCTGGGACCCAGGATTCCCTCCTCTGGCTGGTTGCAGGCACCTAGGACCCAGGCTTCCCTCCCTCTGGCTGGCTGCAGGCACCCAGGACCCAGCCTGGTAAATATGAGGCGTGTGGATTGTTCCTCTTCCAGGCTGTGGGTGCAGCCGCTGGTGCCTAGGACCACAGGGTGGGTGGCTTGTCCCTCTCCTGGTCTGCAGCCCCAGCGGCTGGCGCTTGGGACTGCGGGGTGTGCGGTTTCTCCCGCACCCAGGACCACAGGGCGGGTGGCTTGTCCCTCTCCTGGGCCGCAGCCTGGCTGGTCCCCATTCCTCTCTCGCAAGCTTATTTGTTCCTGGCTGGTCCCCATTCCTCTCTCCCCAGTGTTGAGTTTCTGAGCCTTTACAGTGACGGCGTGATGGCGTGATGACCATTTGCATATTAGCTCTTTATTATATAGGACTAGAGGCCTGGTGCACAAAAATTTTGTGCAGTGGCGGTGGGGATGTCCCTCAGCCCCACTTATGCCCTCTCGCAGTCTTGGACCCCTCAGGAGATAACGACCTGCTGACTTAGGCCTGCTCCCGGGTGGCAGAGGGCAGGCCCAATCCCTCGGTGCAGCCCCTGGTTGGGCTCAGAGCAGGACCGATTGGGAAGGTGGGGCGCCACCCCCTGTCATGCACAGAGCAGGGCCGATCAGGGGGTTGGGGAGCTCCCCCCCCCCCCCGCCCGTCATGCACAGAGTAGGGCCGATAGGGGAGTTGGGGCACTGCCCCCTGTCACACACACATCAGGGCGGATCGGGGTTGTGGCCCCGCCCCCTGACACACACTGCCGCAGGGCGATCAGGGGGTTTGGGGCTGCCCCATCACACTGCTCCAGAGGCCAGGAGGCTTCCCGGCTCTGCTGATCCCAGTGCTGGGAGGCATATTACCCTTTTACTATATAGGATAGAGGCCTGGTACATGGGTGGGGGCCGGCTGGTTTGCCCTGAAGGGTGTCCTGGATCAGGGTGGGGGTCCCACTAGGTGCCTGCAACTGTAAACTTACCTTTGTCCACCCCTGTGAAAACACCAGCCTGGATGAGGGGATGATGGCTGTTTTCAGACTGGCCACACCCCCTTCAGGGTGGGGGTCCCGCTTGGGTGCCTGGTCAGCCTGGATGACAGGCTGATGGCTGTTTGTGGCTAATCACACCCCCTTCAGTGTGGGGGTCCCCACTGGGGTGCCTGACTAGCCTGGGTGAGGGGCTGAGGGCCGTTTTCAGGCTGGTGGGCGACTGAAGCTTTCAACCTCTCTTTTTCTTTTTTGTTTATTCTGGGATTTATTTACCTCAGTGATTCCCAAAGTGGGCGCTACCGCCCCCTAGTGGGTGCTGCAGCCATCCAGGGGAGCGGTGATGGCCACAGGTGCATTTGTTTTAACTTTTTTTGTATTACCTTTCTATTCTGAGTTCAATAAATAGTTTCATAATTTCAAACTTCAATGTTTCTAATTTACACCTTTCTTTACTATATTTTACGAAAAAGGTAGAAACATTAATACTTATATCTTTCTGTTTAATTGCTATTAAAATTTTAAAAAAATTAATTTCCAGGAGGCGCTAAGTAATATTTTTTCTGGAAAGGGGGCGTTAGGCCAAATAAGTTTGGGAACCACTGATTTACCTTCTGTGGCTGTCACTGGAACTAAGAGCCGGCTTTAGCTCTGAGGCTCGGCTCCAGCTCTGAGATCCCGGCTGGCTGAAAGCAGGTT